TTTTTTAAAGACGAGATTATTTATTGCGAAGAAATTTTTTTGCACGCTATGAAAAATAACAATTACTAAAAACGTTAATACGGATTCAGGGCGGAAACTTATCGCGGACGTTGTGGAACCCTGATTAAACGCGGCGTTTAAATGTAATCAGGGCTTTTCCGCGCTTTTTCCACTTACCAATCTGCCAGATATACGCAATGTTACTGTAATCTGGCTCAGTTCCAAAGGAGCAATACGAGACTACCATTTTACTACCAGAGTCTGGCGACCAAGAAATATTGTTCACTGGTCGTATCGGCGTTTGCGGATCCTCGTATACATTCACTGTTCTGAAATAAAATTCTGAGTTGCCATTTATTTTTAATCTAATTTTAAAATGTCAGACTCTCGCATAGTATCGTTATAATAATTTGAAACAATATGAAAACATGAGATTTTAGTATATCGAAAATAATACGAATTGTTATGTTTGTTTATAAGTTGTGTGTGTGATGATAAACTTTGTATAATATATTATATTAATTCTACAATATATTAATACAGTATTTGGTAAATGTATTATTACGGAATAATTTATATTGGGTATTAAATTTTCTGTATTATATATTTCCACCTTTTCTGTTTTTAACTCATGCTTCAATTCTCAATTATTAAAAACCTCATATTAAATTTAAATACTATATTATATTTTATATATGCGTGTGCGTATATTTAAATGTACTTTTTTCCAGCTTTTAAAATCTTACTCACTGCTCCTCTTCGCGTAAATAATTAAATAGTTCAGAGTTCGCAATTTCCACGCGCAGAAAATGGTCAGTTTAAAAGGGAGGAAAGTAAATTTAGCAGCAGGATGCATAATTCACGTCTACTACGACTCCGGAATTCGGACATATGTTCAAATACCTTCAGGCTCAGGCCGGGTTTAAATTTTAAATCTTTTGATGGCCGAACCAACGTAGTCGTTCTTGTCCTCCACGCATATATACATTTTAAAATTGTCCATCTGGGATCACGAGGTTGCGAGCATACTGCCGATATCGTATGATAATAAAAACGATTCTCTCCCCTTTAACTAAAGACGATTGAATTTCTGATATTCATTGTTTCACGACCACGATATTTCGCCAAAAATTTTTCAACCTGAATATTTCAGACTTCTCACTGCATTATTCACTTTTGTATTAATAGCTTTAATTCGTGTTTGCCCCGGGTACATACATAAACTTTATATAAAGTTCACTTGTGATAGATAAGATATCGATAATATACGGCGAAATTATAGATTTTTACCTAAGACTACGGGGTTTCACTAATTCTGTGGGAACCATATCGTCAAAGTAGTGTTGATATATGTTAAGTGCGCCATTCTGGAGGATGTTATGTTCCATTTGCTGCGGGAAAGAAAACAATGTGATTATCGTATTTTTTTGAAAGCAAAATGACATTGTGTCAATCGCGTATGTAATCGATCGAGAAAATTATTCCTCCATCCACGATTTTGATTAAATCAGTTTTCCAAGATATTTTTATCGGTGGAGAATAGAAATTTACGATAATCCACTACGACAATATACTTGGAATAAGTTGCGCAATTTCGGTGCCCAATCTTCGTCCTTCTCGACTCGTCTGCGGTATCTCGCTGTAGCTTCCTCGTCCTTCGGATTGATTTCCTTCGGCCAACCACCCTCGAAGTGAAACATTCCGCTGCTCTTTGTCTGGGTTCCGACAGTCTGAGCCTGGAATTCCAGAGGAATGATTGCTGAAACGTTAGCATAGAATTCCACGGCGTTGATCGTTGGATCCTAAGTTTAGAGTTTAGACAGTTTTATCTCAATTTGATCTACATTTTATACGCAATTGTATACGATATAATAAAATAATACAATATTAAATTCGAATGTTGAATGCAATTTGCTGGTGATTATATTTCCATCGTTTCTATACGTACTCATTTCGGTGATAAAAATAAAAATAATTAAAAATATAAAACGTATATTAATTTGTAAACCGTTACTGAGAGAGATGTATAGAGATGATCGTTTTGCGAAAAAAACCTGATTTATCCGATACGAGAAAATAAAAAATAAATAAAAATACACAACTTCCGTTGATAAATATAAAAATTAAGTTAAATTATATGTCTTTATAATTTTATAATTTACAATTATCACAATTTATATCTTTTTCTTTATATTATAGGATTTATTAAATAAATCTCGTAGAGACCGTTTTGCCGTTAATAAATTTATTTTAAACATACGGGATAGAGAGTTTTAGAATGTCACATAAGCGTTTTGATACATAAAATATGAGATGTAAAATTGTTATTGCTCTTCAAGTGATGTCTGCCTTCGACATGTGTTGCCTCGTTATAAAACAAGCAGAAAAACGGCTACGCGCATGAAATTCACGTGAGGTATCATCTTTTCACGTTGCAGTTTCGTAGAAAGTTGCACGCTTGCGGCATCAGACAGCGGACTCTGCGAAACGCGCAGATGCTGCGCCGTCAGGCGCGTCAGCCTGACGCCAGTTTTACCGCAAGTTGCGTCTAGTTCCGTTAAAGTAAAACGCAGTTGATTTTTGAATACATTAGTGGAGTTCTCGAACTGCGGCTGCGGCAAGCTGCAGTTCGTTCCCCCTTTACATCGAATCTGACACTGTAATGCTAGAACCGTTGTTGTATAACTTACACTTATAATCTTGTAAAGAAAAGCGAATAATTGTAGCCCTTCTGTGAAATCTTTTTCGCATGCATATTTGATATAATGTATTTTTTTGGGGGAAAATTTATATCAGACAATCACAGAATTTTGATTTATCATAAACAGATTGCATTTTTTATTATCTATACCAATTGCATATCTCATAATTTTAACCTCGTGCAACGCAAACTGTTTGGTGTGTTGCATGCCGACGTTGCAGTGAGTCCTCGTAATGTAATTGGCCATAGCGTTGACATCTGGCCTGATGTCCACGTCCACGTTCGGGCCGTGTACATCGAAGATGCACTGCTTGCCAAACTCGGCGCGCGTTTTCAGGAAAACCTGCTTGATCTCCATTATATTGTATTCAACGATGCAACGAACTAAACCGACAACTTTGACTCGTGCTCGAGAAGCTTTCAAAAATGTAAATCGATGTTTAAAATGCGGAGGATCGACGAATCTTCCGAAAAAGTCTCACACGTGTGTATTCTATTCTTACATTTATTTTACATGTGAAGTTGCACACGATCGCTTTTTCTTCTGATCGCGATACAATTGATATTTATTGTTTCCTTTCTCAACATTAATTTGCATATTGTATCTTGGGCAGCAGAATATATATAATAAATAAAGAAAATAGAACCCTGTTATATATAAAAAATTTAAAATTTATGTGATGGTTTCATTTTATTTTAATAACTCATTGTCAGATCCACTTATAACTTGACATCTTGTTCATTAATTGTAATTTTATAAATTTTATTTAATTTTGAAATTTTATTTTTCAAGAATTATCTTTCTACATTATAATATTCTTTTTTTATGTAAAGATACGATATGTTAAGTAAAAATATTTTTTTCTGGATTATAACTCAATTATAATTATCTTTATTAAACAAAATTGATAAAAATATTATTTCGCTTAAATAAAACACGAAGCAATCTAGAAGCGAAAGAAACATTGAAATTTTTACATCTTCATCCATCACGCTTTCCTTCGGCTGTAAAACTTATTTAATTCGATTTATATGAATCTCTCGTTTCGACCAAGATTGGACGAACGGCAAGGATTGCAATCAAGAGATTTCTGCTTTCTTTTTTAATACTTGGTACGTCGGGAAGGCTGATATAACCATTTCATCTTAACGACTTGATCATTCCGTACTCTGACTAACAATAAGTCGTGCATCCAACATTATGCTTGTCACGTCTTTTTACCTGAGATATGACTCGCGAAATCAAAAAAATTTAATAATTTCACATAAAAATAATCATTTTAGAATTTTATCATCTCTGGGAACTATTTTAATTCTAATGATTTTTTTCAATTATTTTTCTTACGAAATCTGTTTGATGAAAAAGATTTCTATCTTCTCTCTTCAGTTTCTTTTTTTCCCTAGAATACTCTGAAAAATCTATCTATTTTATATATTGGTTTTCAAACATTGGAAAAAAATATGAGCTGGCGAAATTGAACGTTGATCGGTTCGCTGAAAAAGAATTTCGAAACCAAACTAGAAAATAAAAAAAAAAACATTTTTATCGCGCGATGCGACGAAAGTAATAATCTCTTTTTTTTATATTGGGTAATATATAAATACTATGGGAAGATTTATGTATATATATAATAATATATTCTTATATATTTTTTTATTTTGCATATAGTAACATGAAATTTATATATTAGACAGAGATAATATTACATGTATGTATATTTATAATAATGAGCGATAAACTGATTAAAAATTAACAAATTAAAATATTTTATTAAGAAATTAATTAAATGAAATAAAAATTGAGAATTATAAGATTAATGAGCAGAAAAATTATTCTTTTGCTTATCCAGAGTAAAAATGAATTCTCTGGGTCAATCGATTCCCCAATATCGACTGCGTAGACATCTTATTAGACATAATAGTCACGCTATCATTTAGCATTTGAAAGAGCCTGTTGTTTTCCCGACATCCCTCGGTATTTCTTTTCATTTCAGTTTTTTCTCTCTGCACATTGTAATCTCCGATCTCGGTTCGAAGAACCCGATGAACTACGATGCCCTCATCAGCTAATGGCCGCGGCATCGATTTGTTAGATTCCGCAAACCATGTTCGGCCAACAATCGTCAGCGTAGGCGAAGATTCGTATTGTTTTTGGTTTCATGCACCGTATCACTGACATCGATACAATTTACGAACTAACATACGTGAATCCGGCCAATTGCTTAAAAATTGTATATCTTCTGATATAGCTTTTTCAAGTAATGGAATAGCATTGATATCGCAGCATACATAGAGCACTCAAAAGTTTCCCTACGTAAATATTTTTCTTTGCAATTCATATTTATTATATAACATCTCTAACATATCGTAAAGAGTAAAGTGTGTTTTATCAACTATGAGAGAATTATATAAAAATATTATTTCAGTGCCACATATCGATACGAAGCTCATGTTTACGTCTCCCAGAAGATTTTCACAATTTATTTTATTACTACGATAATTTCGCAAATGGAGTATAGTTTCAACACAGACTATTCCGAAATAGATCGACGAATTGCAATACGAAAGACTCGATAGTTACGGTACATTTCTCGGATGTTTTATCGATTTGCTAATCCGCGCTACACCTGTAGTTTTTCAGCGGGATTTACCGAGCAAATAAAGAATCCAAACGAGACCCGGCTAACCGATTGCGAAACTAGGCCAGTTGCAGAATTTTTTTCCGTCGACGCTTTTAATCTCTTAAAGCCTGCACATACATAATGAGACATGAAACTTGGTTTATCGCCAAAAAGTCATTTTCGTGTTGATCGGCAAAAGAAGCAAGGATTTAGTACCGGCAAATAATTTAAAATATGTATTATATTTAATGCACGAAAAGTCGAAACATTTCTTTTTAGCTAGATAAATAATCTCGACGACCAACAAGTTTTTTTTCTTGCTACAATTGAAAATTTGATGAATTCACTTATTGGATTCCTCTCTGCAAAGTACCATCGTCATCGACGATGTTCTCTGGTTGGAATGTTCTTTTGTGAGAATTCACAAGCCGAGCTTGCTCCGCGCGAATCCTTTCAATCAGGTCGTGCGGATTTTCCATACGGATGCAAGTTTTCCCGTAATACATGAGTGGCGGGAAAGTATAGGGAGCGTCTCTCATGACTCTTCCATGAGCGCGGTACGCCATCCATTTGCTCTTCGCTCAACTTTCCATCCTTACCTCTTCACTCCGAACTTTCTTTCCCTGTGTCGAACCGGAGGATCGAATCCTGCGATTTGCCGAATTCGCGCGGAATGCATATTCGAGATTTTGCCCGTCCTCTTTCTCACGCTTAAACGTCTCGTGCTTTCCGCGATCTCTTGATTAATAGATCTCTTGGTTGGTGCGTTCCATCTTCTGACATTGAAATGATAAGATACTTCAACATTTCCGATCTACGCTTCTCTCTGTGATACACTTGAGTGAATATCTTTGTTAATTTTTATCGTCATATAAAAGAATGTTGTTGCGTGTGACGTTCTTCTTGATCTTGATTAAAGCTTCTTTGATTTTATGCTTGAAAATTAACTTGAGGAGCTAATGCTTACGAATAGATTTATTTCAAGTAAAATACATAAAGAGAGTTTAAGTATATATCTGTCGGATAAACGCACAGTGGATGAAGATTTAACATTTCAAACAGCTCGCGAGAAAGAAATGGAGATTATAAAACAACTCGTTTTCTTGTCGTCCGTTTTCCGCTCACGTATCGTAAAGTGAGAATGCGACCCTGGGAACGTGGTCGGCGACCCGGGACGATTTCCATAGTTTAATTTATATTGGCTTAATCCGCCGGCGTTTCAGATGCGCTGCAAACTTTGCCGGGACGCTTCTCGCGAATTAAGCGACGAGAGTGCGGAGCTTGAATTTTTAAACCCCGTTCCCTTGCTTCGGCCAACTTTTTCTCTCGCGCGAGAAATAGTGAGAGCGAAAGTGCGCGTCGGGTCTTATTTCCAATTCCACGAGATTTATCCCAAAGTCTCTGGGACGCGCGAATTACATGCCCGAGGTCGCGATCCCTATTCTGCACATCTGCCTCTCATGCTGACGCTTCGCGCGAGATCGATTAATCGGACGGGAACTTTAATGGCATGCCCCTTTGATCCTCGCGGTAATTTCGGCAATTTACCGTCTTAAGTTTCGATCCCTCTGTGCCTCGTCGCTTCTACAAAATCGATTCTATCGAACTGCCAGAGGAGAATTTCAACGGAAGGAGCAATCTTCTCGCATAATATTCCTCGATCGAACCATTAGAGATATTCCGCATTTGCGCCACTTTCACATTTTGTTCTTTAGAAACTTTTAACTCCTGGCTGAAACTTTGATCTTTCAATTTTCTTAACAGCGGTATATATACGTGAGTGTATTCTTTGCTTCGCTTAATAATATTCAGTTTATTTAATTCGTTCCTTTTAAACGCGAAGTAGTACCGCATTGAAAGTCTTACAATTCTCTTCAAATATCAAGTGTCTTTTTTCAGAAACTTCTTAAAGATCATTCTCCATTTTTCCACAGAGCTCCAACAAAATGCACAATTTCGTAATTTCTCTTACACAAGATCTTGAGAAGAAACACTTAACTAAATTGTTGCGTCAAGAAAATATTGAGCATATTTTTCTGAACTTTTAAGAACGTTTCAAGGTATGTATATGTTTACTAGAACTTAGCAATTAATTGATAAAATAATTGATTATTTATAGATTTTGATTGGCGTAATCGAATATTAAATTATTAATTGCCTCACGTTACAACAACGCCATTATTACATTTTTCGTTGATTTATATCGTTAAATATGTTTCTTTCTCTCGGGTGCACTTTTCGAGATGGGGATCGAGCTTTCTCGTCTTTCTTTTTGTTCACGTTTGCGAAATCTTGTCCTCACTCTCGCTTCCAGGCTTCCATTTCGAGCTCGTTTCAGCGAGCTGCCGAAAATCCGATCTTTCCTCTCACGCTTTTCGTGGAGGCGACTCGACGTCGCTGCTTCCGAATTTTTCCTTTTTCCCTTTTGGCTTCGCGAGTACGACCGCGGTCACTCGGGAGTGCCAGAAGTCACGTTTCCCAAACGCGATTCTCTCCTCTCTGCTAAACACGCACTTTCCCTCTGGCTTCCTCTACTCCGTTCGTGAATACGTCCGCCAGCATTCCGTCCTTCTTTGGCATGATCCTCCTCTTCCAAACTGTGCCGGCAACTCCCGTTCAAAATCAACTTACGCCACCATGGAATAATGTACTGCGAAGATTTCTTCTTCTTTGAGGCGAATTGGACTAGTAATTTCGCTTTTTACATTTCCGAAATATAGAAAGCAGACGTTGAACGAAAATAACGATATCAGTGCGTACGATAATTAAAAACGAAAAACTCATATAATGGGAGTCATTTTTCAAAAGATACAAAATTTCCCACATAAATTACTAAATTCATATTTTACATATATTACTAAATTCATATTTTACATGTTTACGTATATTGATGTAATAAGAATTTTATATAAACTTTATTTTAATTAAAATACCAATCTCATAATCTTTATTTCACAGATTAATCCTATCTGATAATGAAAATTAAATTGCATGTATAAATTAATAATTACGCGTATTATATTTCGCGCTCAATTTTCAGAATTTGCACGGTTTCAATTCCATTGTGATGTAAATTAATACAGCAATATGTATTACGAAGATAATTGCGAATAAAGAATTTTAGAAAGAAGCAATGACATTTTTCTCACAATTTCTAACAAAATATATGAAATAGCTTTAATTTATGAAATAGCAATTGCAACCGAAGCAGTGACACGTTTTATTTTCTTCTGCTGGATGAAACACTATATTATTCCCTGTGAGACCAATTACGTTATATACTTCAATGCACCCTCGATGAGTCTAAAACGTCCGGTGGGACGACAACGAATGGTCCCTGCTTTAATACTCCAATCTAACGCCAGGGTGATTTCATCCTCTCCAATTTTGTTTTATCACCATCGTTGATCTTGCCCTTATCTCGTTTATATATTCGATCTAAACTTAATCCTTTCGACTCTCTCCCTCTCTCTCTCTCTCTCTCTCTCGATAGAAGCAGTCGCTTTCAACTTACAGTTGAAACCTATTTCTGTTATTGTATCAAGAAGAATCGTATCTATTCGTGAATCATATTATTCTTCTTTTATAAAAAAAAAGACGAATTTGGATCTATAAATATTTATCTTAAATTTAAATGAATTAAAGAAATAAGAGAATTTGCTCACAACGCTTAAACGAATAAATTTTGAATTAAAAACATCAATTTGAAAATTTGTTAAATAAATTTATTAAATAAAAGTTATATTATGTGATATGTCATATTTGTGCCTGAAAAACACGAAATATATTTGCTCAATGTGACGACGG